TCAATGTTGGTTGCTCATCCATGTCGAAAGGCTCTTTGGATTACTTCGACAAACATGACTTTGGAAATCAACAACCGGGGACACCATTGTCCTCGAAGGAAGGGAATGCGCGCTTTGGAAGTAGCAAACTAATCATGAGCGCGGCCATGTACGCCTTGCGCCGGAGTCTGGTACTCGTAAGTTTTACCTGCATCATCGCGCCATTGCCTTGAGGTCCTAGTTAACCAGGGTTCAATTCTTAGAAAGGCAAAATTCCCTTAAACATATATACCCTGGATCCCGGTGGCTTGACGGGAGAGAGCCATTTAACAGAGAATGCCCCTCGGTCGGTTCGAATGGCACACCAGACGCGGTCTGGACTCCGGCCATTCCTGCGAGTGTTCTCCAAAAGTGCCATGAATAACCCTAGTGTTCCAGCCAAGATAATAACGAAAGTCGCATTCCAGAGAGAGACTGTGGAGCAATGGGGACGGGAGCGATATTATATCTTGGACAACGACTACGAGGCCGGATCCGTCCTTCCGGTGCTTCGAGACCCGCGAAAAATGGAGGCGTTGCTTAAGAAGCTGATGGGACAAATTGAGATTGGTGTCAAGGGCATGGGGTCTCCCCAGTCCAGGATATCACGCATCAATTAAAGATGGGCGAGTTAGTATATGTGATTTCTTTTGGGTTGGATAGCGATGGTCAGCATTCTTCGGAGTTGGGCTCTTTTCCACGCGTTTCTTATCAACTTTGTTTTTTCGGGAGCATCGGGATTTGATCGGATTTCTGTAAATAGACCATAGGTGGTATAGATATAAAAGAACGATGGGACTGCCAATTATGGATCGGTGGGCCAAGGATCTTTGACAGTAATCGTAGTATGTAGCAGTAGTAGTAGTGATGAGAATTGAAGACGGTTGCATGTCTGCAAACGGGCCTACCGCCGGATTCGGTAATGACTGGCAGAGTCCATCGGAAGTCGACAGGGTCTACTCCGTACTTGGAGGCGAATCACCGCCCGGGCGCTACTGCACTGAAACCACCTAAACGCTTGGTTCCGACGCTCTGGACGGCTGACGTTCTAGTTAATGCTACATAGACCTTTTCGAGTCTTGTCGTCTCCCTTCCCTTCTTTTGTCTACATTTTCCCTACCGTGTTTCATTATTTCTTTTTAAGTTCCTCCAGGGATCTGTGATCCTTTGTCGCTCCGTAGTGCAGTTAACCTTACGCTTCCCGCCTCACAGTCGCATTGGTTTAGGTGGGCGACAGGAAGTCAAGCCAGTGGTTTCCTTTAGATCTAGGAGCCCCTAGGTTCCTTTGTCTTGGGGCCCGATTTTCAAGCTACTGATGCGACTGGCTTTGGAGCGATGAACAGGCATCACGCCTTCACCAACGGCTATGCTGCCTACCCTCGCGGGCAGGGCAGCACATTTTCCATTTCTCCCCACCGGTAAGCAACGGCCGCCATCGCATCCCACTCCTGACCCTTTGAAGGATGTTTTGCTGACTTTGCTCCATCGATCGCTAGCTTCCAACCACGTTCACAACCTGCTCTGCGACGACGAAGACAACTTATCCAACGGCTATTCCTGATTGGCGGCGTCTCTTTATTACTCCTAGTCCTAATTTTTCCTTCCTGGAGAGCCACGATTCTGCCAGTAGTATCCCTTGGGCTTCTTTCTTCCACGGAAGACTTACAAATACAAACCGTACGATATTATGATCTGTCAGCTGTTCAGGGCACTGCAGATGGATGGGAGAAAGAAGAGCGTGTGCTCATGTGCACACCTCTTAGGGATGCCTCGTCCCACCTGCCGATGTTCTTTTCGCATCTCCGTAACCTCACCTACCCTCACCACTTGATCGACTTGGCTTTCCTGGTCTCAGATTCGAAGGATAATACGTTAGAAATGTTATCCAGCATGCTTGGGGAACTTCAGGCCGATTCCGATCCGCACATGCCGTTTGGTGAAATTTCGGTTATCCATAAGGATTTCGGACAGAAGGTGACTCAGGATGTCGAGAGTAGGCATGGGTTCGCTGCGCAAGCTGGGCGGAGAAAGTTGATGGCCCAGGCGAGGAATTGGCTGCTGAGTGCTACGCTTCGGCCCACTCACAGCTGGGTCTACTGGAGAGATGCTGATGTAGAAACGGCGCCATTCACCATCATAGAAGACCTAATGAGACATGATAAGGATGTCATTGTACCAAGTGAGTAGAGCAGTCTACGGGTCTGGTTGTTGTATCTAATCATGGTTTTTATCAGATGTCTGGCGGCCACTCCCAGACTGGTTGGGCGGGGAGCAGCCGTACGATTTGAACTCCTGGCAGGAATCGGAAACCGCACTGGCCCTGGCAGAGACGCTGGACGAAGATGCGGTTATTGTTGAAGGATATGCTGAGTATGCGACGTGGCGGCCTCATCTTGCCTACCTTCGAGACCCATACGGCGATCCTGATATGGAGATGGAGCTCGATGGTGTTGGCGGTGTTAGTATCCTTGCAAAGGCAAAGGTCTTCCGTGCTGGAGTTCATTTCCCAGCGTTCAGTTTCGAAAAGCATGCCGAGACTGAAGCATTCGGCAAGGTAAGACCTGCGTGCAACTTCCTTCGTCCTTTCCTTACTGATCATAAACAGATGGCCAAACGCATGGGGTTCTCCGTTGTGGGTCTCCCACATTATACCATCTGGCATCTTTACGAGCCTAGTGTCGACGATCTTCGGCACATGGAGGAAATGGAGCAAGAGCGCAAGGCTCGCGAAAAGGAAGAGAAGGAACAAGCTGAGCGGTCAGAGCGCGTTAATAGTCTGTTCCAGGATGCTAAAACAGAATCGGAAATCGATAACGCTTTTGTCCGCGACGATATGGAAACTAAAGGAAAGGAGCAGAAAGCCTCGGAAGACTCCAAGAAGCCGGAAGCCGAAGGTGCTGAGGAAGTGAAGGCAGATAAATCCTCGAAAGCCCCAGAACAAGAAGAACAGAAAGCTCCGGAGCCTCTGAAGAACAAAAACTTGAAAGATACTGAAGAAGTCTCTGCAGTAAAGCCGGCTAAGGAACAGGCCGGTGCTATGCATGATGAGCAATTAAAGCAGAGAGAGTAATGATGTTCTTATTACAGTTCTTCATGTATCCGGTAGCGAAAGGCGTCAGTTCAAAATCCGTGGAAACGGAGAACATCATTGCCTATTGCGCCTCACCAGTCTCTGTGCTGGTCACAGTGTGGCTTTCTTATTCTCCTTAAAATATGCCGTCAATTACTGGCAGCTTTTTGTATATGGGCTGGCGGAGTGTTTGGGTTGGGGCTTGACTTCTGCATCTGATGTTTGGTTGATTTGTAGGTCTGATATTGGGAAGCACTTGGCTTATTTTTCTCTTATCTTCACGATGTATCGGTATGGACGGCTTACCTCATGGGTAAAACGTATGACTTAAATATCAGTAACTTACATACCTGAGCAAATTATTTTATTCTAAAAGGGTCTCGAACGAAACATGGCATCTGAGCTAGGAAGACACAGATATAAGAGCTCGGGCTATTTGATCCTTCTCCACAGCCGGTTCACTGTAGCTATCAACCGACACGCTGAGGCATTCGCAGCTAACACCCCCGGGCCATATTTCTCCTACTCTAGATATAGTATAGTCTCACAGCTGAAGCTCAATCACGTGGGTTTTAGGATCTTCAGCATGCCCTAGACTTTAAATACGTCATCTTTCAAACTGAATTCCGTGCGGTCAGGTATATAACAGCCAACCCCTTTTTCCAATGAAACAAGTCTATTTGACAATATCTCCGTGTTCGCCTTTATTCATCATCTCTATATCTTCGCACCATGGCATTTCAACCATTGAAGATATCGCATAATCTCTACAAATCAGCCCTTCGGTTTTACCACCCCCGAAGATGCATTGCAAGCATTCCAACTAGTCTTCACTATCAACAACCATATCGCTTTACATCCTTTCCCTCATACAACCACTTGCGGCCCTTCAGCATCTCCGTCCAACGATTCAACTCTAAAGCCACAGTTCATATTGACACACTGGGTGGGGAATCCATAGACGAGGGAAAGCTGCAGTCGTTCAATCGCAAAGTGGGAGATTATGTGAAACAGGACGATGTGCTAGCAGTTATCGAAACCGAGAAAGTTGCTTTGGAAGTATATGCTCCCGAGACAGGCGTTATACAACATCTCTTTGTTGAAGAAGGGGATACCGTTAGTATTGGGCAAGCTATTGCTGAGATTACCGTTAAATCTAAGGCTGGCAATGGAGATGAATAAGATTAAGAGCGCTTTGAGCGGAGAGTAAGGAATTTTTTATGTGGCAGGGATCATTCTTTGGAAAAAAAAAAAAAAAAAAAAAAAAAAAATTAAATTCTTGACAGAAGTAATCGTCGTCTTTTGAACATGGCGTAGAAAATGCCGTTGTGTATAAATGAGATGATGGATAGATAAGAAGGTTAGAAGCCATGTATGCTATGGACCATATAAGAATGGTTAGACCGTGATGTACGGAGTATAGCCGCCGACAACAACTAAATGGATGAATCTACCTACTACCTAGTAGGAGAAAGTAGAGGTAGGCAAATAAAAAGAGGTAGAACTGTCAAAGAACAGGCGTTGCATGGAGTTGCTATAGAATTCAGTGTCTTCTTATTCATATCCTACATCTCATCATGAAACCAGTCAAAACTCCACCCGAAAGCCTACAGTACCTCTATTGGAATACCCACAATGGAGTATTTTCTTGAATAGATATAAAAGCCAGCACTTTTGGCACCAACGGCCCCCGTAGCGCAATGGTAGCGCGTAAGACTGTACGTTTACATCACCATCTTCATCTATTGAACCCAACTAATAAATCAACAGTCTAGGTTCCAAGCCATCTTAAGGTTGCGAGTTCGAGCCTCGCCGGGGGCTACCCTCTTCTTTTTACTCGTTGGATTTTCTACCATGTGAGAGAACTAGTCGTGCTTTGTAATGCTGTCTAACCGTAAGCAAGGCAACGACCGCCCCCGTAGCGCAATGGTAGCGCGTAAGACTGTACGTTCACATCAACATATTCACCTTCAAAATCCATCAACTAATAAATAAACAGTCTAGCTTCCAAGCTATCTTAAGGTTGCGAGTTCGAGCCTCGCCGGGGGCTTTCCCCTCTCTTTTTGCTTCTTGGATTTTCTATCATGCGCGAGAGCCGGTCGTGCTTTGTAAGGGCTGTTTGTCAGGTCACAAGGCAACAACCGCCCCCGTAGCGCAATGGTAGCGCGTAAGACTGTATGTGCACACAACCCAACCTTGGTCTTCCTGGCCCAGTAACTAACAAAGTCAATAGTCTAGCTTCAAAGCTATCTTAAGGTTGCGAGTTCGAGCCTCGCCGGGGGCTACCCCTTCTTTTTTCACCTTGTTCTTTCTTTTTTGCTTTCTACCAATGACGACTTCATTCATGTATAATTTATTTATTTATTTATTTTTTTTTTTTTTTTAAAAAAAAATAACAACAACATAGCAGAAAACATCCCAAAGCACGTCGCATATACTAACGCATGCATGAGAAGCAAAGGGACCTCTATATGGTTATACCCGCTACGACTGCCAAACTCCATATGGTGTCTTTCAGTGTATCGTATTGGCTTCGCATCATCTAGTTTCAGTGCCGCTTACAGTGTGGCTTTCTCGTTCTTTTTGAAATATGCCGTGAGTTATTGACAGCCTTACGTATAGATGCTGTCCCGTACTTTAGGGCTTGACTTTACATATATCTTATTTTGTCGATTTATAGATCTGGTATTGATCAACCATTAAACAGTGGTCTGTGCGCCCATCTCGTCATGAACCGGTACGCGTGTGAATCGCGTCCAGACGTACCACTTCAATTATTCCCTCGATAAGTATAACCCCTATGGTCGCATACCCATTGAGTGCCAATATACCCCTTCCCAACCACTACTCGAGCGCCTTCCAAAGGCGACAAAGAGCAACACCTCATAATGTCTACACAATCTGCTTCCAGCATTCTTTTCACCCACACATCCCGTCAACAGGGTTTCAAATTATTAGAGCTACCAGCAGAACTGGCCGATCTGCTCACATCGAAAGAAGCTCCAACGTACGCCACAAGCTGAAACACCCCATTCTTACTACATCCTTAAACCTCTTCAAGAGAAGCTAACTTAAAAAAACCCACAGTCTTGAATTAAAATCCCTAACTCCTCAACAACCAACAACGACAACCACAGACCCCGAAAACCGCGAATATGTGAACCTCTGCACACCTACAAAGACCTACCTCGTCCGCCAAGTCCAGTCCTCAAATTCAATCCACATAATCCGACCAAGCGACTCAGGTGTCCAAAGAGGGGACATTAACATCGTCGGCGGCGACGACGACGACGGCCTAAACCTCGTGGAGACGATGACCGCTATCGCGAAATGCGGATCTACACTTGAACTACATACGCCGCCGGAGGGTTTCTCGGCGGTCCCTGTTTTGGAGAGGATATTGCCTGTGTATGATGAGGTGGAGGGAGCGGAGCAGCAAGTGGAGGTGGAGGAACGGGGGGACGTGATTCGGAGGGTCTTTGCTGATGTTCCTGTGTCGCGGGCGGAGTGTGAGGCGGGGTGGGTTGAGCTTTGTGCGTTTGTGCTTGGGCGCGGGGTAAGTGGGGAGGATGTTGCGGGTTGGTGTCGGAGGCCGTCGGCGAGGGTCAAGTTGGATGTGTGGAGACGGGTGGTTGAGGGGGCTGTGTTGCAGGGGATTGATCTGGGTAAGCAGTTCTTGGTGCAGGATTTGTGGAGATCGGTGCTTGATGAGGGGGAGGAGCCTTTTCCGAGGGCGTTGTTTGAGGGTGTTGTTAGGAGGGTTTGTGAGGTTGGGGATGGGCGGTTGTCTGAGGATTTGAAGTGTGAGTTTCTCTTTTCTTGTTTACTTTGCTGGAGGGGATGGAGAAACTGACGTCTTCGTGAATATAGGGGCTAGTATCGATAGGGCACGCTGTACGCAGTGGGTTGGTGAGACTTACCTGGAGGCTATGGCGCCGACCACTGCTTCTAGCATCGGGCGAAGTGAGTTCTTGAATGCTTGGAAGGATCTCCTCCCTGAATCCTGGCGGGATGACGTTGCATTCTCGAAACTGACGGTGAGTCGAACGCCTGCTAATTTGGATTACTCGCTGCATTGGTCATCTATTATTCCTAGATGTTACGGTATCTGACATTACACGCAGGAAAACTCATACAAGCACCCAGATCCCACGACGATCTGCTTCGTTTATCGCACTGACCGCCAGAAAATAAAGAAAAATGTCTCAACAGATGCTAGTTCTGCGACAGCAGCCAAAAAGACAAGAAATTGGCACGAGTTATTCAAGGACCAGAAACGCCAGAAACGCTAAGCCAAGTCCGCGAGGGCTCGAGCGTCGCCTCTATGTTTGAGCCGGTTTACTCTAGATAGCCACCCCCTCTATCAATGTCATGCATTACTCGTTGAGAAACGCAAATTTGGCCGACATTCAGCACCAAGCGTACTTCTCATTCCAGATCCACTCAACGTCCTTGTTTTGCTCGGCGCCACTCCACCTCAAGCAGGCTACGCTGTCCTGCTCCCGATGGACGACCTGCGCCGTAGGGTCTAGGATGGCAACAGCCCTCTCCAGCACTGGAGTTGGATTCCAGAACTGGACCTTCGACATATTCCACGCGTGCGCCTCGAGTTGGGCGCGTCTTATGATTGCAGCCATGGCTTTCGCGGTTTTTTCTGTTTCCTCTGGTGAAGTTGGTTCGTCGTACACCCACCTCAGGATGTACAGAGTGTTTTCTTCTGCAGTTTCACCAAAGTTTCTATTCCACGCACAGTATACTTTGGACTGTTCATCACCTGCACCCTTGATCAGTGGCGGTGCTCTATCCTTGAAGAGAATCTTTGCGTAATATTCCTCCCTTGCCCAGTGCCACTTGAAATGGTCAAAGTCTGGGACCACCGCTACTTTGGCACTCGCAGACTTCTGAGATGCGACGCGGAGGATATCTAGCTCCTTTTGAACCACGTCGTCGTTGCACATGAAACGGTGCACATCTTCTGCAACCAAGGTCCTCGCCTTTGGAAGGTTTCCTCGAACGATGGCTCGATCATATTCATCCTTTGGCAATGGGGGAAGGCTGAAGTGTGTAGAGGGGTAGGGCATCCAGCCGAATTGAGCATAGAACTTCTTTCCGATATCAGAATATAATAAACTGAAAGGCACTCTGTTGGTGGCCTTGGGCTCCGTTTGGCACGCGTCTATCTTCTTGACCAACTCCTGCATCATTCTTTTCGCATATCCCTTGCCTCTAAACTCAGGTCGACTGAAAACACTGCCGATACTGAGGGCAGACACATGTTCCACTTTACCGTTTTGCGCCAAAACTGCCTTCTTTTTGTATGTCTCGCAGGAGCTAAGGATTGTCCGTTCGCCTTCCGGTTGGCCTCGGACGACCAACAACCAGCTCGTCAAGCCATCCTTGGTCAATGCTTGCTGGGCTAAGTGATTTTCTCGTGCAATATACGCATCAAGATCCAAGGGACCCTTCCAAGCTGGACTATTCAGCTTGATAGCTGCGATACGTTCCTCCGGCGTGGCCTGCACTAGGATCAACTCCGGAGATTCGCCTAATGGCAGGGCAGTGTTGTCAAGATAGGAGTTGTCAGCAGCAATCATAATGAATACAATGCGAATGGTTCGCTTTCTCTCCTAATCAAGCGCTCAAATGTGGAACAAAGCCGAATATGGTGTTATAGTGGGGTTTCTTATAAGATGATGGCGGGTACCCGTTGTAATATTCCGACGAGAGTGACTGTTGAGAGCCAAATTGCGGTAGCTCTTGAGGACAGGTGTATGTATATATCGTTGAACTAAAAGAACCGGGGGTAGTTATAGTTGAGACCAAGACCCCTTTGGCCGGGGGAATGTTTCTGTTTGTCACGCCTGCCGACGACAAGCGATGCGAAGCGGTACAAAGTTGACTCAGCTGGGGATGTACCTGCCTCTAAAGGCTATACGATGAAGACCATGACGTAGTGAAGGCGCGGAGAAAAGTAAGGGATCCAATTGTAAGCTCTGAAGGGCTATATTGCATGTATCATATGCGACAGGCACCTGAGGTGTTCTTCTTTCTTCTTCTTTTAATCTTACAATACCTTACGCTAGATGGTATCTTATCGATCCATATCTCGGGTGTAGTCCACTCTACAGCAGCCAATTTCCTTAGCGGTAAATTATGGCCTTTAAAGTGGTTCACGTTATCAGCGTAGATTAGTCATTCATGCGGAGATACACAGTGCGGTCTTCCAAAGCAGCAGGCGGTCTGTTTTACTGCCAGCAAGCGTCAGGTAAGATCCCACCACCACCTGATGATAACTAAACTACCGTTACCTTGAGCTGTTGTTTTGATGGGGTGATATATTTAGATCCCACATTGTTACAGTGAATTTGTCGACCCCATTTTTGACATTTGTATGACGGTCAGCTTATTTATTACGTCCTCGACTCCAGAACCCATGACGAGACCATAATTCTGGGGTAAACCGCGAGTCCACTCTTTGAGAGCCCCACTGTGACATTTCTCCGTTTAAACTTCCCCTATTTACACCTTTCCAACTCGGGCAATCTTCTTCGGATATTGCTGCCGAGTATACAGATCGGTGCTAGAAAAAAGGCTTCAAAGCTTGTTTCAAGCGGAGTGACGCTAATTTGAAGGGGAACGCTAAAGAAAGAGGATCTTGAAGTGTGGGTGTTTCTCACCTGAGGTGAAGTATGTTTTTTCGTACTGCTCCTTTCGATGTCTTAGACTTCTTTTGTGCTGTGGGAGAAATTTCAATTATATCGACCTAGTTTTCACTTGGAAATTTGTCTTAATTTTGTAAACCATTCAAGTGCCATTTATTTCTGTGATGCTATGCTTTTGTCATAATGACTGGGTCTTTGTACTTGCATGGTCTGTGTTCCATCACTATGACCCCCCGTTAAAGCTTGAGATCGGGGTTCCCTCTCATATTCATGCTTCCTCTTCACAATCAGGGCTTCGTATCTCTTATTGATCATTCTGCCTAACCGGCCTTATGATGCGGTCCCTTTCTAAAATCTTGTCTGCGCAGTCTCGCCTTCGTAAAACTCACCCTAAGCGCCTCAAAAACCCCAAGATGGACGGGGATCCCATGGGATTTGGATTCCCTTGGAACCAGAATGTTGACGACTTAAGGGTCCCTTTTGGCGATGAGAGGCTACTGCTGGGTGAGACCCACCATATGCATTGGGGACTCGACGGGCAGAGCGATGATCTGGGCTTTCAGTGGAATGAGCCTTCTCTCTCTGCTGCAAGACCTACAAAGAAAATGAGAAGCCACTGTCC